AATAGATGAAAATTAACCTTTCGCCCCCTTTATCTCCGAAACTACTGAACCTTAAATTTGGAAAAAATACAGAAAATAGTTTATTACTTATAGATTACAGGAAATTAATAATAAGTCAATGGTCTGTACATAACGTGGTAAAACATTCAACAAAACAATATCGTGCGTATAAATTTACATTTGCAGTTTTTTTTTTCAACTACAATGTACATATTGGTTTTTAGGGTTCCGTACAACCGAATGAAAAACGGAACCCTTGTAGGATCACTCGTATGTCTGTCTATCCGTCCGTCTTTTAGTTCAGCATAACTACTGTCCAAAGTTTCATTGAGTAATTTAAAATATTTGATTATATTTAAACCAACAACTAAATTATTACGCGATTAATATTACGTTTCACGCCAGACGTTTTTTTTTTTTTAATAAAGTACTCTTAGTACATATAATATTATACAACATGGTAATGCAAAAAACAAAATATAAAACGAAAAGCAAATGGAAGATTCATCTAGCTTTATTTTTAGTGAGAATTACCTTCACTATAAAAATTTATTCGGCTGTTGGAGTCTGCACAGTGAAATAAATTATTTGAATGATGCAATTAGTTAGTTTACAAGTATTCCAAGAAGTCTCATAAAAGGTGAAATACAAAAATGCGCAATCTACTTTCAAAAAAATAAGTGAGAGGTCAAAAATGAGAAAAAGTCAAGTTCATTATGTATAAGAATATATTGCTACTTCTCCAAATTAGCAGACTTGTTGATATTCCACGATCCATTTCAGTTTTTCACCGTTCTTGATTACGTTCCATTACAGAGAAGCCTATTTTGTTAAGTTGAGAGTCATTATGAAGTAAAGATATTTCATTACTTTGCTCAAAGAATTTCAGAAGAATGTAATTAATTTTCAAAAGTTTTTAGGTAATTGGGATCCAGAGAATACTCCTGTAATTGAAATCTTGCAAGCAACTATGGCAATATTAGAACTGGCAATTCTCGAAGAAAGAGCTCAGATTTTAGGAGGGATTTGTATTTTCGATCTCGGCGACCTTTCGATGCAGCAAGCTTGGCATTTGACACCAAATATAGCAACTAAAGTCATACAAATTATGGTCGTAAGTACAGAAATAATTTTAACATTTAAAATTTCAAGGCTTAAATGTAAATGTACAAAGGAACACTTTTAATTAAGCAGACTTGATGTAATTTACTCCAGTCTGTATTTCTTGTTCTATTGATGACATATAAAAGAAGAAATAAATCACTAAATGTGTGTCTAAAGTTTTTATTAGGAAAAATTATACCATAATCAAGAAGAACAAACAAAAATGCAATACATTGAAGTATTACTTGAAAGTTTTACATTTAAATAGAAAAAGATCAAGATTTTTTTTATTTTTAGACGTCTTTTCCAATGAAAGTGCACGCTCTTCATATAGTCAACCAGTCCAAAGTTTTCGACTTCGTATATAACATTTTTAAACCACTTCTGAATGATCAAATGAGAAAAAGGATATTTTTTCATGGAGATGATATGGAATCCTTGCATCAACACATTAATCCAAAGCATTTGCCGGAACGGTATGGTGGTGTTCATCCAGATTATAGTTATAGCGACTGGATTGACTATTTTAAAAATAATGAAAAAACGAAAAAGGAACTGCGCTCATTAGGTTATAGCATAGATGAGCCATAATCTATCACAATAAAAAGAATACACTTGGAGCAAGATTATGAGAAAATCAATCTTATTCAGAAACTAGAACTTTAACTTTTACTTAATGTAAGTTAATTCAGTTTTATTAGGTCTTTAAATGAATTATCAATAGACATTACCGTCGGGTAATGGTCTTTTCTTAAATATCATACTATGCCTTTTATATAAATAAATACATGGTTTTTTGTAATGGGTTCATAACTGTTTAAATCATGAATATACTGCTAGAGTAGGAAATTAT